GCAAAAGTTGTTGTTGCTGCGTTAAGAATTGTTTCTCTAGAGCCGTCTGTGATATCAGCTAGGAACGGTGCAACAAAGTTCAAGTACTCTGAAGTGAGCTGAGAGACATAATACCAGCCTGGAGGGGGCTGGCTCTAAGCTGATATAGAATGAAAAGCTACCATTCCCTTTGAACATGGACCTCTGATAAGTATGTCGTACCCCAAAAATAATTTCATACTACTGGAAGCTTCTTTGGCAGAGAATAGGTAAATAATAACCTTACTGACCAAGGTCAGAAACTCCTCTCACTGATGCTGAAAAGTTATTCCAGAAGGAGCCTGTTGGCTTATTTGAACTTTAATCACCACAATGTCCTGGCCTGTGGAATGCTGCTTAGTCTAACAAGGAGGTGGCTGACAAGCAGACCTAAGTATTTACTTGCTATTGGCAACCAAAAGAAACTTAAAGTTAGTGGTCTCTCTCCCTCCTGAGTGGGGTTTTTCCAGGCTGCATAGTTCCCTGCCTGTACTGTGATATTCCCAGCAAGCCAGACCATCTAAACTGGCCAGCATCTGCACTTCACTTTTTCTCCAGAGGCTAGGAACAGCTGTAATTGCCAGCAGTTACAAGTTACCACACAGCCCTTTCTAGGCAAGCATGTTTATTCTTAAGGTAAAAGCATTACAGTGAAAACATATTAAAAACAATAAAAGAACCTACACATATGCTAATAAGCTTACCAGAGACCACACACCAACTCCAACAAGGGCTCTGGTAGGAGTCAGTCCTTCAAACCCCACCCAGGGTGTTTCTGTGCTTACCAATAGAGCTTTGCAAATTCATGGGCATTCACTTTATATCCGCAGACCATTTTCGCGACTCATAGCTCGGATCTGAATACAAATTTTGTATCCATGCAGGGCTTTGCAGTACACACTCACCCAAACGGAGCGGCTGTCGCCCAGCCCTCAGGCTCCAGCTCGGCTCTCTGAGTCACACAGTGGTGGGCTGCAATAGGTGGCAATAGCCTGCTGGACATTCTGGGAGTTGTAGTCCCCAGCTTGCTCAGATGGAGGTGGTTAACTACAACTCCCACAAGGGAGTGAGCCAAGCGCCACTTTGAAAGAGGTGTGGTTGTACTTTAAACTAGCGGGTGGCAACAGTGGGCACTGTGAAGAAAGTAGTTGTTGCTGTTGTCGGTCCCGACAGGGTATGCATGTGTTAGAGCCACTGCAGCTGCGTATGGATGTCAGAGCCCCGCACTGGGAGGGCAGCGCTGCATACAAGTGCCCAGAATTGTAGCCTCCCTGCCCGGAACAGGGAAGGGGGTATTGTGGGAGCAGAGCAGGCAGCAGGGCAGGAGGTCTCTGGGGAGATGTGGGGGGCTTGACACAGCCCTGTCACTGCTACACAGTGACCTGTGGAGCTGTTAGTAGAGACTGGCTGCACATATCCACAGTTTTGCAGGCAATATCCATGGACAATTTTTGCAGATTGGATGCGGATACAAATTTTGTATCCACGCAGGGCTCTACTCACAGTTCATAACAGCCTTAGGTCAGGACCAGCAGTCCCTTGAATAGGTTAGTCTTTCCTTTATACGGCTTGGGCCTTTGATCTTGAGACTCTGGGAACAGGTAATCTGCAGACAAGTGTCCTCTCAAGATGTAGCTTCAAAAGGCTGGGATTTTCCTGACAAAGCCCTGTCACTTCCAAGAATTCAGATCCATTTCCATTGCTTATATTATGCTGATGGTGGGAACTCTAACTTAAAACACAAATCTTGGATTTATTGCTCACTTCCCATGTTTTGTACTGGTTTGGAACAAAATTAAAAATAGTGAAATTAGGTCCAAAGTTGTTTTTGTTAATTGACTTGTCAGTGCTTTTGGGAGGGGAGGGAGTGAATGAAGCAATTCCCTAACCTTCCTATGTTTTCTTGATGCAACTTTAAGATGATATTGGGCTGATTTTAACCCCTAGTCCAGGAGCAGGACTATTGTTCCTATATCCCAATCATCCACCCTTTGTCTCCCTTGTTTATTTAAATTCTAAGTTCGTCAGGCCAAGAACTGTCTATTATTCTGCTTGTACAGCATCTAGCACACTGGGGCACCATTTTTCATTGCTCCCTAGGCACTACCATAAAACAAAGAATAATTCATAATGAAGTGTAATTGAGTACTCAAGGTGCATGGCAGTGGTGAATTAGGCCCTTGATCTCCATGTTGTAAGCCTCAGATCATCTTGTGCACTGACATCCTTCCCTACTGTATGATTAAAACTGGAGTGGTAGTTCAGTTTTGTTGCTCATTAGGAGTTGACACTCAAAACATGAAACTGAGACAAAGCAATTAATTACAATCAACTAATTTTAACTATAAAATCAGAGGTTCTTTCTATTTCTATATGTTGCTTTGGCCTTTTGCACAAAAGGGATAGAGTTTTGTAACTACAGTATGTGACTTCTGATCACCTGATTTGGTAGTTTCATATCTCCATTGTTTCTGCTCTTCTTGAGAAGCACCAGAAAGAAGTTAAAGTTGATCAGCAGGCTCTGTAAAGGAGGAGGATAGAAAATAAGGGAAAAACCTTGGGTGAACTGTAAGTTAGTCAAAAATTGTATCATTAACACTTTATGTGGCTATTGCAGCATTTAGATTTATGCTGGTAACTAAACTTCTTTAAAATACTGTGCTTTAATATGTTACTGGCCATTTTAATATTTGCTATGGAGTACAAAGCAAAACAGGCTCAGAAAGAAAAGACTCACATCTTTGATTTAACATGCATATTAACTTTATTTTTCAAAATCTCTAGCTAAGAAATTAAGATTTTAAAAATAATACAACCTGTTTACAAAAATTAGGCCAAATCCTTCTCTGGTGTGATTGTATTGAAGCCAGTACAGATACACCAGAGATGAATTTGGCCCATGAGTTTAAATTGTTTTCCCTTGTCTTAGTACTCCTTTTTTCATAGGTATTTCTGGAAATGTTAGCTGTACATGACTGTTTAGAAATTGTATTCATTGTGGATGCAAGGCTTTAAAAACACACCTTCCAAATTATAGGGTAAATACATTGTGAACAAATCTACCTTCTGCATTGTTCTAAACTGAAAGATGCATCAAAAATTACAGGTGTGCCATAATAAATCCATGCTATTTTGCTTTAATCTATTATAGTTATAGGGTGTGTGATGTGCACAGATATGAATGAAAGCTACTGAAATCCAGTCACTCTAATGTGTTTCTGAATTAGGAGAGGAATTTTGCAAAGTGCAAGAAAGCAGAAGAAAGGAAGAAGCATAGGCAGGGGTAAAAGACAGGCAGGCTGAGCAGTGTGATTCTTTGAAAGTACTTCTCTTGTCTATTATGGTACTGCAGAATAATTAATACCTAGGTCTTACACAGAGCTTTTTATCCATTAATCCTTAAGGTGCTTTGCCAAGGAGGGTGAGTATTGGGAAGAAACTAACACCTGAATTACAAAGTGTATCAGCTGAATTATTTCAGTAACTATTAACTGAATAAAATGAGAATGTTATCCTCATCTCTTGAGACATTTCAACCTAGACTTGGAAAAGCTCTGGAGCACATAGTGTAGGGATTAATGCTGAACTGTCAAGGGCAGAGAAAAGTTGACTGAACTCTGGGCCAGTTTGCAGTCAGTGTGCAAGGAAGAGAATAGATGTCGGTGAGATAGCATCTGTGTTGCAGATATTATTTAAATGACTGACTCTATTGGGATTAAATATACTTTATACTGCTGTATTAGGGTGTTCCTGATTAAGTTCCTTGTCCTGAGGGCCAATGTCCGGTTGTTGAAGCCCCACATTTAGGTCTGATAATAAATAAATAAAACCTAATATTGAGAATTAAATAAATAACTCTCCTCCCCCCCCCCCAAAAGAGCTAGGGCAGAACTGCAAAGTGAAACGGCCACGAAACTAACCAGGGCTTGCCCTGCTCCCCTCGCTGCTGGCCCAGCCCGCGTGGAGCCGCTGTCAGCAGGAAATATGAGACGGCAGCGCCCCAGGCAACAGCGAGATGAGAACTCCCGGAGAAGAAAAGCTGGGGGATGGGCAGGCAGAGACAGGAGGGGGGGGGCAAAGTTTTTTGGGGGGATAGCTAATTGGGATAAATGCAGGCTGGGGGAGGCTGCTCCAACATCCCCCGCATTAGGCAGGCGTGAGGATCCCGATGCTTCCCAACCACCCGTCTCCGGACACCAGCTGGTCCAAGCTCTTTTACCTGCCCAGCCCCCCCCCCCCCCCCCCGGTTAATTTATTCTCTTCTTCCCTTCCCCTCCCAACAAGCCCCAAGCATCTTATTTCATGTCCTTCCCCGATTCCCTCCACTACCCTACTCCCCACCGCTTTCCCTCGATACCCCTGGCTCCCCACCCCAGCCTTGCTTCAGCAGGGCATATGGGATGGGGCTCCCACCGCACCCCCACCCCTGCCCCAGCGGGGGATCACCCGGAGAGGGAAATCACTGACTGTTCTCCGTGAGAAATGCCCCACACCAAGTTGCACAAAACGTGGCAGCCCTGATAAATAAACATGACCTGGTATAATAAGATACCACAGTGCGGCACATGTGTACGATACAGCCAACACACGTGTGTGACACACTATTTCTGTGCAGGACACACACACGTCCTGCCCCACAGCGGGGTATTGGAGGGGTCTGTCCCTCGGTTCCAGCTCCCACGTTTCTACACAGCTCAGTGGTTCTAGCTGCGGCTGCCAATGACAACACACTCCCCTCGTGCAATGGTTTGTCAGGACTCCCTACTGGGGGGGCGATCGCTCTTTTCATCGGTGCAACGCGAAACTTGGCTGCAGCACCAGGGCAGAGTGTGGCCTGACCCCCCCGCCCTGCAGACTAAACTCCAGGGAGAACTGAGTGCCGGCGCCGGGTATTTAGTGCGCTCCACTCCCCCCGCCAGGGAGGGAGCGATGGTTTACGTCAGCAGGAACAAAGGGTGGGGCTCCGGCAGCAGCACATTATCCCGTATGCGGGTGTCTCCCTTTGCTGCGGTGAGGAGCTGGGCTCAAGGCTGTTTCACTTCCATTCCAGCTGCCTCTGCAAAGGTGGAAGAAGAAGCCCTGACTTCACTGTTTTGCTGTCGGCTGATCGCTGTTTGTTGAGCGCATGACAGGAAAGCACAGGGGCCTCGGAGAGAAAACTCACAGCCAGCAGTGAGGCCTGCCTGCCACTGAAGCAGACCAGCCAGTAAGTAGCAAGCCGAGTGGAGAGGGGCTTTATTACATTCAGAATGTCTGTGCTGTAGTTAAAGGGTGGGCCTAGGGGAACCCGCATACGGTTATTTCGTTGTTGTTGTTTTCCCCTCCTGAACTGCTTCTTTTGCAAATATTTTCTGTGTGTTGTACTGTTTCCTCTTGTGAGGAGGAGGAAATGGGCATTAGCGTTAACTAACTGCTGGTTTTGGTTACATGCTTAGAAAGGCTCTATCTTGGAAGTATGATGTCATTGCATGAAGTCAGGGGAGTTCTGAATGTAGCTGGGGTGGGGTGGGGTGGGGTGAGTGTGTTTTGTTTTGTCTTTTTTTTGTGTGGGGAGTTTAGAGAGGAAATGTTTCTGGGGCTTTCTCTTCACACCAGTGTAACTATGCTTATGTTAATGGACCTGATTCTCCACTTCTTTGCATGTTGTATACATCTGTGCAGAGAGAGTGTAATATTGTATCAAATGAGGATCCTTAACTCCCACTCGTCCAAAATGTAAGGCAGTGGATTTGCTCTGGTGTAAATAATAAAAATCAGCAACAGTCCTTTGCTCTGAGGCTATGAGGATATTGCCCCCCTTTTCTGTGATTTATTATATTGGGGAGCAGGGAGGGAAAGCATTTTTGCAGACTCTTTTTATTTATGTTACTAACAATCCATATGGCTTCCTCTTTTGCCTCCCCACAAACTGTGTTAAATTAGATATTCTCTAGGCAGTTCTTCCTATGGCCATATTTGACAGGATGTGCTGTGTCCAGTGGTGGTGCTGATTCCACTCTGATGCATCAGCAAAACGAACTGGTGATTATGGATATTTTTAAACAAACAACAAAAAAGTTCAGCATCTTTAAACCACATCATGTGGAGGAAGTTTTAATTAAACTTTATACCCCCAAGTTTGAAAATTCTGGACTATATAGTTAATGATATTACTGTGATGCTGGGGGAGACAATAGAGAGGTTGTTTCTCGATGTCCTACTCTCTTAATTAGCTTCAGGAATAAATGACCTTTCGGAAAGTGGTCTAATTCTGTTCAGAAGTTGACTATGCAGTTCTGTTCACGAGATGATCCTGCAAGCCTTTTGCTCATGTAAATAGTCTCATTTACTAGCATAAGGTGTTGTCGAATTATGCCTTGTTTTTTTGGTGTCTGATATTCCAAATTGAAAACAAAACAACATGCACACCTCTGATTCTGCATACATAATTAAAACAACTCACAGAAGAAAGAACTATGAAGCAGGGCTCCTTTCTTTTTAATTTTTAAACTTTGAAAAGTTGCATTTATTTTTCACAACATAGGACTTAATACAGAAAAAGATTTTAAAAAATTCTCATTATAACAGACAAAAAGTACATTCCTGTGTGTATCAAAGGTCTGTTAATACAGAACATATAATAAAGAATATTTCCAGTATTATTCTGCTTCTTTATTTTTCTTTTTTGTAGCCAAAATAATAAAGTGTGTGTATACACTATAATATCTATATCTACTATCTGTTCACTGAGGCCATGTTATTCGGCACTGAGAATTCAAGGCTCCTTTATACTTACAGGCATTGTAAAGTGGCCTTAGTGTATATGAGAATCAGACCCAGAGGGCTCCACAGGTGAAAAATGAAGGTTCAGTGATGCTTAAACATGCTGCTAAAGAATTGTAAGTCTGTAGTTTTTTTTTGGGGGGGGGGGTTGTTTTCCTTTTGCCCTGGCCCCCTTCTTATGTCCATGGTACTTGTTGCTCTTCGCACTTGAAATGTGAACCTTGTTAGAAGCAATAAACATTGGTCATATAAAAATTGCCAAGTATTCTGTAAGGAATTGGCAGATAAACTGTCGAATTATTTTAACAGTGTGTTGACAATATTGACACTAGTGTTAGCAAAACATCTCAACCAAGTCTTCCTGAGGAATGATTTAGAAAGGCAATGGAAGACTTGACGATTTAAAAAAAAAGTGTGTATTCTATGTATGTAGAAGCAACAGGAAGGGAAGAAAGACCAATAAGGAAAAACTCTTTACTGTAGTGAAACTAGTGAGCTTTCATAAATGACTTCTTCAAGAATGGCTGTGCCTGTGTTTTATTTATTTATATTATATACACATGCACACACACACACACGGAGCCATTCTTTACAAGTCTCCTTTCTTCTTCTTTTTTTAATTTCAGATGGGTACCTGCTGTATGTAATGGCATGGGCTCAGCAGCCTTAAGTAGACCAACGTGTGAGTAAGAAGCTTCAGACTCCCTCCCAATATTTTGAAGTATAGAAGGAAGAAATGAATCTTGCCAATGATGGTGCAATGTCCAGATCCATATTTGACTGGGACTATGTTCTGTGGGAAGTTCGTTTGACATTACTAGCAGCTGGTTTTTTCATCTACCTGGGAGTATTTCTTCTAGCTCACTGGCTTTCTTCATGGATCAGTGCTACTTATCGTGCTTTGTCAGCAAAGGAAAAGGTCTTCTGGAATATGACTATCACACGTGGCGTGTTTGGAGTTCAGAGTTGCATAGCTGGGTTGTGGGCCATGCTCATAGATCCAGTTTTTCAAGCTGACAAAGTGTATTCACAGCAAAAGTGGAGCTGGTTTAATTGCTTAATAGCCTCTGGCTTCTTTTTGCTTGAAAATGTAGGTGTTCATCTGTCTAATATTATTTTCAAGACGTTTGATGTATTCTTGGTAGTTCATCATTTACTTGCCCTTGGTGGCTTTCTTGGGCTGATAACAAACATAAAATCTGGACACTATCTACCCCTGATTGGACTGCTACTTGAGATGAGCACTCCTTCAACCTGCTTCTCCTGGGTACTTTTAAAGGTAAGAACTTGTTAATGATCTTGTTTTAATTACTGGTGATAGAAGTTTCCTTTAAAAATGTTGCCCCTTCCCTCCCCTCCCCACAAATATACATATCTGCAAACAAATAAATAATGGCCTCCAAATTTGGAGATAAGTTCTGGGATCAGGGTAGATTTTTTTTCCCTTCTAAACTGGAAATGAATTGACCAAGGGAATCCTTAATTATAACACCCTAAAAATAGTTAACTAGTGTAAAACAAAAATATATTTATTTATTTATTTTACCTATTTCATAACAAAGAAACAAAATGAAAGAGATTTAAAAAAAATAGTTTTCTGACTCACTTGTTGGAATCCAGTGCATAGGACCAAAGATTAGATGATTAAATTCAAATTTTGGAAGATTTTTTATTAAGTCTAAATAGTAACATGAGAATGGCTCATCAGGTCCAATAACTGTAATCTAGGCCTTAACATTATTGCTGGAGAATAAAGATGTGTGCTCACACACATGAGTGTTTATGTATGTTTTATATCCTCTGTGGATGTGGGGAAGGGAGAATAGACTTGAAGAGATCTGCCATGCTTGTAGGGAGAGAAGAAAACAGCCCTACTTCCCAAGCCTTAATCAGTTCCAAAGGGTATGTCTTAGTGGTTTAAACTTCAGGTCTAAAATATCTGGATTCTATAAAACTACAGCTCACCTCAGCCCTTCTGAGGTGCTTTTGATAAGAACTTAAATGGGGACGTACTTTTTGTGCATATAGATGCTAGAGCAGGCAGAGAGTCATGGTTTGCCTCAGTGGTGTTAGCTAAAATTCCCAGACCCTACTAACCCCCACTGCACTATTGTGACATGTGCTTTGTTTGAATAGTTTATTAAATGGTTTATGGAGGAAGACAATGTGCATGTAAGTGATACTGTACGCCCATCAATGTTCCCTGTAATTTTTTTATATCCATGTACTGAATGAATTTTGTTATGTGCACCAATATGGAGCTGATGTGTGGTGGGGCTGAGGGGTTTGGAGTGTGGTGTGGGTGGTGCTGGCTCTTGGGTGGGCCGGGATGAGGGGTGTGGGAGGGGGCTCAGGGCTGGGGCAGAGCATTGGGGTGCAGGGGGTGCAGGCTCCAGCTGGGGGTGCAGGCTCTGGGGTGGGGCTGGGGATGAGGAATTTGGGGTATAGGCTACCCCAGGGCTGGGGCCAGAGGACTCCCCCAACCCCTCTCCCCGCCATTAGCAGCTCAGGGGCTGAGGCCCCTCTCTCTGCTGGCAGCAGCTCCCGGGGCTGAGGACCGTGGCAGCCCTGTATGTCCCAACTTGCTCCCCTCCTCACCCATCCCCTACCTCTCTCCTCTTCAGGCCCCCTTGGCTGCGTGCCTGGGTGACCCTTTATAGCCTGCCACGCAGCTTAGGGAGAACTTAGATGCCCATAATTTATGAAATGGTTTATAATTCTTGTGGACAAAAGATTGCACATTTATACAGCACCTCTTAGCACTCCAGAGGAAAATGATTGAGAGTATGTGTGTGTGTGTGTGTGTATGGCTGTTTACATCTAACACACAGGAAAGCTAAATATGTCTCTTATTTATAGAAAACACTGACTGCCTTATCTTGAAGCAGCAATCTCATTTCTCTTTGTTGTCTTTTCCAGATTGGCTGGTCTAATACCCTTTTTTGGAAGGCAAACCAGTGGGTAATGATCCACCTGTTTCACTGTCGCATGATCATTACTTATCACATGTGGTGGGTGTGCATTTCCAATTGGAATGATGTGGTGGAAAATATGGGACTTCCATATTTTACTGTCTTTTTCATGGGATTATGTTCACTTACAATAATACTTAACCCATACTGGACATACAAGAAGACCAAGCAGCTCCTCACTCCAGTTGACTGGAACTTTTCAAATACAGCAATGAAAAATGGATCTTTTGGAAAACTAAACGGTGAAACAGGCCAAAAGAAGAGGCTATAATGCTGCAACAGATATTATGGTAAAATATGGCCAGAAGAACATGGAGCAGGTTTACTCCTGAGTGCATGAAAATAGAATTATTTACAAGACGTTTATAAACATATTGCTCAGTTGGCCGATTGTTATCAGTATTCTATACTCATTTATCAAAAGTGTTTAAAATTGTTGCTCTCTCTCTCTTTTATAATATAAATAACACAGTCAAAATCTTTGACTCAGTCAGGATTTATGCCAGCATTTTTCTCATGTTGGACAGTGCTCTGTCATTTAACAATGAAAAGCAAGCGTCTATCATTCATTTTAGAATCTCCAAGTGCTTTACAAATAGCTAATTAAGCCTCACAGCTCCTCCTTGAGGGAGATTAGCATTAATCCCATTCAGTATATGTGCGAGATATTGATAGTGACTTGTCCAAAGTTAAATTGTAAATCAGTGGCAAAACTAGGACTAGAATGCAGAACACCTGGCTCCTAGACCCATGCTTTTACCACTAGCCCATAAAATTCTATAATGAATTCTCCATCACTTGAAGTTTTTAAATCAAAACTAGATATCTTTCTGAAAGATACGAGAGAATGATGTAGGCCAAACAGAAGTTGTGGGCTTGGTGCAGAGCAGAAATCACTGGGTGAGGTTCCATGGCCTGTGTTATACAGGAGGTCAGTCTAGATGATCATATTGGTCCCCAGGCCTTAAAAATCTATGGAAAATGTAAAGTACCATAAGAGTCCATAATGAGCTGTTTGTTAGCACAATTTCTAGTGTACGAGGGTCCATTGCACAAAATCACCCCAACTATCGGCACTGACTGATAACCTGGTTGGTTGGCCAGCTGACTAGAGGGAAGTTGAGCTTTCTTTTCACTTGTGCAGGTGATTCTTCCAAATCAAGGATGTGGTTGTTGCCTGTTCCGGAACCTCTTCTGTGACCACACAGGGAGCTTTAATCTTCAGGGACACTCCTCTGTATGGTGACACTCCTACAACATAATTTAGAAATCTTTGTTTTTTATTTAGGATCTTTATTTTCTTTACAATAAAATGGCTCATTGAGGATGATAATACTTCGCTAGCATCTGTCTAGCAAAACCCTAAATCTTTCCCTGACATAAAGAAAATATTGTTGGTTTAAAGCTAACTAGTCTGGGACAACTGGTTAAAGTAATCATACCCAGTTACAGGCTTGATTGGACCAGTACTGGTTGAGGTTGTAGACAAGTGACTAATGGACTCTTCTGTGCAGGAGTGGCACCTAATGGCAGGAGTGATGCATTAGTTTTAATATATAAAACTGGCAAAACCAAAAATGTGTGTGGGGCAAATCCCACAATTTGACAAGAACTCTGCTTAATTGTAAATTTATTTCCCAAAGTAACTAGCTTCTGTAAGGCACATGGAAGTATTTTAGGTCAAGGCTCATTTTCCTAATAGTTTTGTATGTGGACATATGGGTAACATACACTGTTTTCCTAATTATAAGGGGAAAGCATAAATCAGCACATTGTATGTAGTGTAAATGAAGTATTTCACTGACACAAGCCAGGTGGAATGGGGAAAAACTGAATGCTCAGAATGCTGTTGGGCCCAAGCAGAAATGTATTAGGGAACACATCAAAGATCTGTTCCTGAGATATAGACCCTTTCACTTCTAGATCATAGGTTCAAATCCAGCCCCAGTGATGGCAATAGAGTTATCTGAAGACTGTCTAATGAACTAGGTGAAATATATTTTGTGGTCTCAGTCCAGTTCCCAGTGGACAGTACTCCAAACTCCCACCTTTTTGGCAGTCTCATGAGAAAGGCCATGAAAATCAATTACCCTGTTATCCATAGTGGTGGCCCCTCCAGATCAGAGTAAAGTCTTGTTGCTTGGGCAGCGTGACACACATTTATCCTGTCCTGCAGATAAAGAACTGGATTCCCCAAGGCAGTCAATCAAGCACTTTTCAGGAGCAGAAAAGTCACACACAAAATGTTTGCGAAAAGGGTTGAGGATGAATTCCTCATAAACAGAAAAGAAAATCTGTGACCCAAATACATAAAGAGGCCAAACCTCACTGCAAGAGGTTCCAGTGTTGGGTGCTCAGCAAGTCTGGTCACTCGAGAGCAAGATGCCACCTGGAGAAGGCATGGAGATGAGAAGTCAAAGAGGTTGGGAATGTTTTGAAACCAGAAGACTGGAGAATTTGTAGAGGCCTAAGAACAGGAGAGAAGTAGCCTCAGAAGTAGGTGAAACAGGAAATTGAGATATACTCAGAGGTGAAAGTAAGCCGGTGCGCCGTACTGGGGTGGCCTGGCTTCCCCAGGGGGCAATTTAAAGGGCTGGAGCCCCAGGCCCTTTAAATTGCCACCAGAGCCCCACTGCTGGAGCCCTGGGGTAGGGCTGCGGGGCACTGGGGGCTATTTAAAGGGCCTGAGGCTCTAGCTGCCTCTGCTGCCCTGGTCCTTTAAATAGCCGCTGGAGCCCCGCCGCTTCCCCAGGGCTCCCGCAACTATTTAAAAGGCCAGGGTGGTAGAAGCAGGGGAGCCCCGGGCCCTTTAAATAGCCCCTGGAGCCCCAGGCTGCTGCTGCTACCCCGGTGGGGGGGAGAGGAGGAGGAGGAGGAGGGGGCACTTACCCTACAGAGTAGGCTGGGGCTGGCTCTGACTCCCTCAGCCACACCCCTTCCGCCCTAGGCCCCGCCCCTTCCGGGGGCCAGAGCTGGCCCCAGCGTACCGGTAAGTCACTGGACTTACTTTCACCCCTGGATATACTTGTAATTTTTGGAGTAGTTTGCGTGGCCTTGGTTTTAGCACTTGGAGGGGCTGGGATTAGCTGTAGTGCTGGAGATTCAAAAGCATATTGGAAGGGTGTTCCCCAGTGGGATTAGGCAGCTGGGTAGGTATCTCGAAGGAACTGTGTAGGTTTTTTTTTTTTTTTTTTAACAATTGGGGAAAAAATAGGTTTTGTAAAACTGAGTTTATAAAACCTGTTATGAACAGAATAGCTTTTATTACACTGATATATAAAATTTTAATAGCATTTCTTTTTAGGAAAAGGTCTGGAAAAGAAACTTTAACTAAATCCTGGAGCCAGTGTAAACTGCTCAGGACAGGAACCTTGTAATATTTTATACTTCTTAAAGCATCTTGTACCTCAGTGGTATTTTATGAATAATTTTGTTAACCTACCAGTGTTTGCTAGTGCAAAAGAGCCAGAGAGTGAAGTTGATATGTATCTAAACTGAATTTTTATTTGGGTGGAGAAAGTGTTCTTCGGTCTTGTGAAAAATGTAGCTAGGGCATTATTTTTATTAATGTGACTTTCACCTTGATAGTGTACCTTGAGCACCGAGATATCTTGGGTGTAGTATACTTTATTTTGCTTTATTTGAAGAGGAGCGGTGGAGAAGAAGGGAGGCTCAGAACTTGTTAAAGGAAAGGATAAAGGATGAATCCCTCTAAAATTATAATCTCAACAAGTAACCTTAAGTGTACAAAATTACCTATCTGTACTAGCTATGTGTGTTCCTCATCTGAGCTGCACTTGTAGGCAGTTTGGTCAGGTTTATTGCTGTTCTGCAGATACATATAGATATATTTCTCAATTCTTCTGGACCTAGACCAGTAGCATCTATTCTCTTTTATGTTTCTTTAGTTCTGAAGGATGAGATATTAGTCATAGCAGCATTTAGGCAAGACTTTATTATCGCTGTAGTCCCAGACTAATTGTAGTTCATTTGTAGGTTTTGCTAACCCCGAATGCTGGCAGGTTAATGTACTCCCTTCCCCAGTTCAGTGCTCCAGACATTATCTTTGCCTTTATCATGAACAGGATTAATCATTGTAGTGTTTCTTAGAGCAAGGTGTTTGAGGTAATACCTTTTATTGGACCAACATCAGCTATTACCTCAACCACCTTGTGTCTCTAATATCCTGGGGCTAACACAGCTACAACAGTAGTACTTTTTGTCAGCCTTCTTGCCGATACTCCATATCTTTTCAAACAGATCCAAAACCCTCCAGCCACATATCCTGGGCTATGTACTTTGCATTGACTTGGTGTTGTGTTTTCTTTGTTTGTTAAATCAATGTTTGTTTTTAACTACAAACCTACCATGGTCATGCACTAAGCACATAGACTTCCTTGCCGTATAGATTCCAGCCCAAACTCTCAAGCACTCCTCCAGACTGCCAACAGTATCCAAGTCCTGCACATTTTTCTTCTTGTACAGTAAATGAGGATTTATATACTGTGCCCTCTCTTTCTATAACGCTCTACTCTTGCCCTCAGGGAGATGCCCACTTGACATGGATTTAGAAGTCAGTTTAAAATGTCTTTTTTAAAATACTGAATGTAGTTGGGTTCATTGTACAATATAACATGTTTTAGATGGCACACTGTCTTTGGCTTCTTTGCATCATTAAAAGTATTTTGTGGAATAATTATAATTTGTGTGACTCTTCCATTCACTGTTTTACTGATGAAATGGTGCTTTTTGAATATTCAACTTTTGTCCACTGGTGACCTGCAGTGATTAAATAAGCTTTGCAATGTATATACTAAATGTATCATTTTGTGTATTTATAATGTTTTGTTACATTTGATAAGGATAACATCATGTTCAGCAATTGTGAATAACTAAAGGATAAAGGTCTTCATATTAACAATGTTTATAAAGAAACAGGTGAAAACTGCCCATTTAATGATTACAGATCATTAATATCAGTGCAGGGTCACAATGTTTTTCTTTTATAAAGGGGATTAAAAATGCACCACTTTGGCATTATTCTTTGAGTCTGTATATTGTGTATTCCCAGCTGTGTGGCCTGCGTCTGAGTTAGACCCTGATCCTGAATACATGCATGTGAGTAACTTTACACGAGTGTAAGTATTTTCAGGTTTATCTTAACCAAAGAGGAAGAGGTCTAATGAAATTACAATTCAACGTTTAAAAGATTTACTATCCCAACCTTTTTAAAAAATAGCATTAACTTGTTTTTAAAGTGTTGCTTAAACGAATTGCCTTGATGCTAATCCCTCCCAGCCCTCTTCCCCCCGCCCCCAAAAAAACCCCTCCAGCCAAATAAAAACTTCTGTAAAATCCATTTAGAAAGATAGGCTTATCATTTGTAAACTGGAAAGAAGTTTTAGATTGCAGGATATAGTATAAAACCCCCATCATTTACAGGGAGGTTTTAGGGAAAAAAATATAAAATTAAAAAGAGAAGCCATAGCTTTGTAACTGCATGATGGACAGAGGTAAAAGCTGTAGCATCTGACACCATTACATCAAGAAACATGTCACCCACACCCTCTCTCTTCTTCCTCTTTTCCTGAGGGTTTATTTTAACTAAAACTGCCAACGTCTCCATATGCTTCTGTGAAACATACTGTCTTTAATCA